CACTTCAGTTCCTCTTCTAATTTTCATTCCTGCGATGAAGGGTGCGCTCTCTAAACTGATCACGTCATGTACATACCTCTGCAAACTTCAAAAAAGACATAAGTCGTGCGAATTCTGGTCATTTGGAGACCACCCTTATGTGTGCGTCAGTTTGTTGCTGATAGCGTGTGCGGAATCCGATAAAGATTACAAAATTCACATGAAATAAGGCTTCTCTTACGTTACTAGCGCCCTGTTCAGGCTTACTTGTTACAAAAGTATCGATATGTGCCCTGCACTCAGCCGGTCTCCCCACAAAGAGCAAAACTTCTGTAGACGGCTATTCTCGTTCATTTCTCGTCGCATCCCTTCATGAAGAGCCCACCTTAGTCTTGCTCTCACTATGCGCTCCATACGAACGCGTAGGCGGCATATATTAGGTTGTCCGGAAAGTTCTCAGCGTTTTGAGTGTTTCACTTCAAACGATCATAACTTTCTTAATACTCATCGGATTCAATCGAAATAAGCACCGTTCGAATCAGCACACCAATGTGACACCAGTCGAGAAATCCCATCAAAGGAAAAAACTGGGTGGTCGAGAATCTACGAAATCCACGAAGGCTTTTTTGCCTGGTCCTGATTGATGAAGTATTTTCCAGCAAGGAAGTTCTGAAAATGTTTGAAAAGGTGATAGTCGGTTGGTGAAAGGTCTGGAGAATATGGCGGGTGAGGTAGAACTTCAACCCCAATTCGTTCAATTTATGGATAGTGATTTGTGAAACGTGTGGGCGGGCGTTGAAGAATCGGACCCTTTCTGTTGACAAGTGCTGGCTGCAGCTGACGCAATTTTCGGTACATTTCGTCGATTTCTTCACAGTAGGACTCTGCTGTGATGGTTTGGCCTGGTAACAAAAAGTTATAGTGGATCACACCAGCCGATGACTACCACACTGTGACCATAACCTAACCTTTTTGTCGTGAGGATTCGGCTTTGGAAATTGCCTCAGGGGTCCGCCGGCATCCAACCACTGTCCGAAACGTCTCCTGTTATCATACATGATCTCCTTTTCATCACAGTGACAATTCGGTCCAAAAACAGGTCGTTTCTGCTGCAGAAGGAACCTCGAGACGTGCCGATTCCTGCCGGTCACTCCGATTGTGGGGCACCCAATTGTCGAGTTTTTTCACCTTCCCAATGCGTTCCAGACCATCTGCAACAGTGGATTTGCCAACGCCTAGCTTTTCTGCAATCTCTCGAACTGTTTGGGATGGGTCAGCCTCCACAAATGCCTTCAAATCTTCGTCAGGTATTGCTTTAGGTCGACCGCTACGAGGTTCATCTTCAAGGCTGAAATCTCCAGAACGAAATTTGTCGAACCATTGTCGCACGGTGCTTTCTCCAACACTATTGGGCCCCCACACCTGGTTAATTTTCGAGCTGTCTCGACTGCGGATTGACCCAATTTGTAGTTGAAGAAAAATATCGTCCGAAGTTGCTCTTTTGACATGCTTGAAAAACTCTTGAAAAAAGGGGGTCATCAAGCAATGGTGAAACGGCAATTATACCATCAGATAGCGCAAATTCTCTTCAGGATGTACTACTGAGACGCAAGGGAGAATGAGTTTTTAATCAGCAATGAATGTACAAAAAAACACAAAACGCTGAGAACTTTCCGGACAACCTAATATTACCGACATAGTCCATAACTTAGAAAACCCTGCTCGATAATGAGAGACGTGAAAGGACAGTGCTCTGCCGCTCTACGGGTCACAGGTGAAGGTCCTCGCGTAGATGCATTGACAACCCACGCCCCGGCCGCTTAGACCAAGCTGTGCAATAAACCAGAAAATTCTGGATGAACGAGTAACCTCTCTGCCCTTGGCCAGACCAGGTAGAGAGGCTTCCGGAAATTCAAGCACTGCTTCACATTGCTTTGTGTGAGATTCTATTCCTGTTTCATATTCCCGCTTCGGCTTACGTCAGCCAATTTAACTTGCCTTGTTGTTTAATTTTGTGTCTTCATACTGCTTACTTATTGCGGATTGTACCACACTCCGATTCAGCTGTATTGTAGCGCGCCTATGCGTGCGTAATGATTAACGGAAAGTCACCCTACTCTGAATGGAAGAAGAGTGCATGGCGCATACCCAAATGGAATTAATCAACATCAAAAGCTTTATACTTATTCGTTACTGTATTATTTACATCGAATATACAAGTGAACTTTCAGCAATCGCAACGACTATGCTGACTGTGCCAACAATCCTCAACTTTCATGCATCGCAACGACGTTATGCTACTGCTGCAACAAATCCTTCCTCGATTACTTGTTGATCAGAGAACGGTAACTTTGAATCTCGATGTGTTTACCTGATTAGAAGGCATAAGGCGCGATAAAACTTCTGTGCCAGAGTCGTAATGCCTAGCAGGAAGGGAAGCCGCTTACTGAATAGGCGATTTGTGAAGTCGCCCACTGCCACGGGCTCTTTAGGGTGGTTTCAGGCTTCTCCATGCGTGGTGGCCAAGTTACAACTTTATTCAGATTTCTAATTGGAAATTTTTGCCATCATATTCAACAAAAAATTGTACACTATCACGATACTCCGCCACGGGAGACGGTAAAGAGGATCGTAATTCGCCGCACCGCCACGCGCGGCGATGGCGCGCGGCGTTTTCATAACTCGTTTTAACCTGTCGAATGAAGCACCGACTTCATTGTAACCCGTCATCGTAGACACTTCATTACTGTTTCGTCCTTAATTGCATGTCTTCGCCACTCCACTGCCCTGAACATTCGTCCTTTGCGGGCGAGTTGCACGCGACGCCCAGCAGCGCGCAAAATTATCGTCTCTTGTCACATACCCTCGCCACAGCCTTCTGACGAACGCCATCGAGAGACTCTGCCACGCCGAACTTGATTCGTGCCGAGTCGCGAGGCGCTGGTTTTTTTCCGCCACTGTACGCCACCCTGTTGAGCTCCTCCGAACCTGGAACGAGGATTTTAGAGGGACACACCTGAATATCCCGTCTTCTCCACAGTATCAACACCGTCGATTCAAGTCTAGATTCCCAGTAGACGATAGTTTTCGACTTCCATGTACTGGCACCCGATCTTGTAGCCGTACGAAGTTTTCAAGATGGTATAGGAGGCGAAATGAAGGCAGCACACTCTCCTCGAGCTGTTTGATGTACACCGTTCAGCCTTCAAACCCCTTTTCAGCCGGGCTCTATCGAAGAAAAATATCGCGTCTTCCCGATTCTAGGAACACTTCCGGCCCAAAACCAGCAACCCGCGCGCTTGGCGCTGTGTGCTGTGAAGGTGATGTGCCTAGACCGTGGCGACTTGTCGAGCTGCCCTCGATGTTGGAGATCATCAAGTATCGAGAGTACTGGTCTCCAGGTAGCTGCCCATGAGTTACTCGATACAAGAAGTTTCGCAGCCGCAGGAGGTGACGTGAAATCCATAGGCCTTCTTCAGTTCGCTCTGCGAATGCAGATGGCTTCATGTTTTGGTGCACTTCAAGGTGACGGACGAGAGCCTGCTCATGCTCATCCAAGAACATCTTGGGTTCCGCCCTGGTACTCAGTATCCACGTCTTTATACGGCGCTGCGGTTAACTCTTACTTATGCTTCCTGGCCAAATGTCTTTTTTCCCTCCCCTTGTACCTGCAGCACACGTACCAGCGCGTCAAATGTATGAAATTTGAGAACCTCCCTATGTTGTGTATGTCACTTGCTTACCTGTATTCGTCACATAGAGGTGAGCGAGAAAACCGAAAGAAAGGTCAGGTGCCCTCGGAAAGTGAACCAGCTCCTCTAGAGACTTCTCCACCAACTGCGATCGCTCTGGTGATTAAAACAGAATAGAAAACAAATACTAGTAGTGAAAAGCCGCGCAACGGCTCATTCTACGTCTGGCCGGCCTTTTGATAGTGATTACGAAGGTTTCGGGGATCGTTGCATGTGGGACAGGATGTTTGACGAAAAACGAAACCCTATTTAAATTTGTTATATGATATTTATGATAATTGTTATGATATTTTCAAAAACATCTAAAGCCTTAGGCCTCGCGGTTTCATGCCGATATCCCACCGATTACGGCTGACCGGCTCACCAAAATAAACGTGTGAGTGCTGATAGGCACTCATAAAAGCCTTCAAGTCTGGGAGAGGTAAAAGCGGCCCTTGGTGGCACGAACGGATTAGCGCACTCGCCCGCCGAAAGCGTTGAGGCTGCGGGTTCCACTCCGCCTGGGCACGACTTTGTTGCCCACAATCTCGAGCATTTCTTGTGATAACCTATTGAAAATGATACGATGTTGATTTTTATACTGGCCTGCGCTACACAATCCACTCGTATGAAACTCAGCCCCTCCCCCCCTCCCTCGTTCGAGCTTATAGGTTTTCGATGACCCTGAAAATGGAGAAGGGTTGAAAGATCTTCCCTGAAAGAATACCGAAACAACAACGGTGGAACAGTGTGAATCAAATGATGAAGGAAACCTTACCTGTAATATGGATTGCCGCGGTGGTTGGCGCATTGCCAGAAAAAAAACTGCTTCAGAATTGCTCTGGACTGACGGGATATTCGCTTACCATTATGCAGAACAAGGGTTTTCCGCATCCTCTCGACCGTTCCAATTCCTTTTTCTTCTTCCCCCTGTGTATGGAGCGCCCCAGCCACCATTTTTGACCAAGTACCAAATTATCGTGCCTTATGCCTCTAGGCTCATTTTTTATTCGCTTGGCTCTGCTACGGGTCGTTCCAGAGACCGTAATTCATTTCACTGTCCGGATTTTCCAACACTTAAGATCTTGATATTACAGAACAGCTACTGGAATAACGGAGTATCAAGCGCTCGGATACACGAAAATCTTCAACCAATTCGATTTCTCTTGCGGCGCTGGCTACACTGGTAAGTTCTCCTTATAGTGAAACAAAATATTGGTACGAAGCACTGGTTTAGAGTTTGCCAATAACGAATGTGCGTCGACCGTTTTTCTTACCGGTACCGCCGATATGAGGGCATGTGATAACAACTTTGCAGCTTCAATTAAAAAGGACTCAAATGTCATGAATCGATGCGCGTGAGTTTTATTTGCCGGGTGCTTTTCTGCTTAAAGACCAGTTCTGACGCTTGCACCTCAAAAGTCCATGGTTCCTATACAACTGAAGAAATTGCCCACACCTCTTCAACTCCTTATCCTCACAGGTGTGTAGAGCAGTAGCGGAGAAATCTTCTCCTTCCGGTGAGCGACTATCGGTCGAGAAGCGCTTTCTGATGCAAGGCCGTGGACACGCACAAGCCGCTTATAACAAGTGCTGTAAGCGTAGACAAGAGTAGATCAGAGCTATAAGCTTTCTCATAGCTCCAGAGCCCCTTGTCACTCACGTTCTATATTTTAGAAAAGATTACGAGATTGTTGCGCCAACTCAACCTCCACTGGAACTTTTGAATGAACAGCTCTTTCTCCTATTTTACTATGGGCGGGGAACGTAGTGGTACTGCACTGTACTGCCTACGGCCACTTGCCACTCCATTAGCCCACCCATAGTAGTGGTTACGGTTCGGAGGTCAAGTCCTGGATCACCTCCCATCCAGGACAACTAAGCCTGGCGCAGTATGCCGACGGGGGGGGGGCATTTTGCACTTTCATGCTTCACTAGTTCTGGTCTCACTCTGGTGAAACCTGTGAACTCTTGTGAAGCTGGAGCAAGCTCGTCAAAACCTGTCAACTCGAGAAGAGGCTGTCTAGATGGGTCGACACGTCGATGGGAAGTCGTCAAAGTGCAAAATGCCCCCCCCCCCAAACAGCGCCACTGAGCCCTTCACCTTGAAAGGGCGAGAGGGAAGGGCAAACTGGTACCCATGCGGCAGGGGGGGGACAAGAAACTTGTTTAGGCCTTATCCTATTGATCATGCTACAATGGCTCTGAATGGAAATAGATTTCAGTTCGCTGCGGACAAAGGGCGTGCCAGGCAGTATGAGTGTGCCACGGCGCCAAACCCGTTCTCGCTTAGATTTTGAAGCGGCGTGTTGCTAAAACAGTTGTTAGAAAACGAATAATACGGACAACATGATACAGTCTTGTCAATTGCCCGCTTCAACGGCTGGTGGAGAACGTGTTTGGCACCGCGCCAGCACTGACACGCCCCTGCGCCCGCAGCGAACTGGATTATGGAATGCGTGCCGCATCCCAAGGAACGGATTGATCAACGGCGAAGGCATTATCCGTTGATCATTGCTATATATTCGTTTTTTTAGGTACCTAGAAGTAGCCAAGGAATGCTACATGTCAGCCTTCAGTAAGCGTTGTTCACAATATCCTGAGGTGGTCTGGTGGCGATTTTGTAAACTATGAACGTGCTAGCAGAGAAAGAAACGCAACTTTCCACAATGTGCACCAGACTCTCACCTGGTTCAATGTTGAGTCACACTTTTAATTGCAACTTCGAATTACTACTTCATACAATGTCCACAACGCAACCGGATATTGTTTTTAGTTTCTATGCATAGCTTTGCGCTCTATACAGGACTCACTTGCCGCGTATCTTTATGACGCTGGTTATAATACCTGAGATTGGAAAATAAGCTCTCCTAATCATTCCATGACAATATTGCATCGTTTTCCGATCTCCTCTTACATTTTACCAAACCAGACGCAACCTTTTACCAAACTAATCGGCTCCACAACTTTAACCGACACTATTTTGTGTTAAGTGTTCGCATGAAAGTATACCGCTCGCTGGCGTGTTTGGCCCGGCTTAGACAGACGTCCGTTCAGATCAAACACTAATGGGTGAGTTGACATTAATCGTTCACTTATGCCGTCTTTGTGCTCTGAATGCCACAGTCTGCTAAGTGTCGCCGTGCTGACAACCAAGTCAGTGGGCACTCCCCGTCCACGACTGCAACCTCGTTAAAACATTTTTATGCGAAACTATAGCCGCTCATAATTATAGCCAAACATCGCCAAAGTTTTAGGCGTACATCCATTCCCGTTAGACTTCTATACTCCTAAAAATCCACCCACTAGTCAGACGCGGTTTCGCGGAATTCTAGAATTGTGGTTGTTTAGATGGAGTGGTTTTTAATGCAAATAGTCAGTCACTTGTTTTTTAATCCGTCTTATTCTAGACACTGACCCACGTCGCACCTGAGCATCGTTTCATGAAACAATGTCAGCGTAAAACATGTGTTCATAAGCAGAAGAAATATGATCGTCAATGGCAGCAACGGTTTTGAGTGCTCATTAGTGTTATGATTTATGTGAATAAACAGCTATTGCTTTCTCGACCATTGTTTCATCAGTATCGTTTGCCGTTATCACCCCGAATTTGCCTTTGGTGAGTCCGTGTGGCGAGCGCAACGCCGCTCACCAACACTACATAGGACACTATGAAATGTGAACATGAACCAATTGTTATTCTCAAATAGATAGGTGATTTCGGAAGGAGATCTGTGGCAGGGTGTGATAATAAAAACAATCGATGAACGGTGGATGATCGAAGGATTTTTAAGAAATTGGCGTAAACGACAAGTGGAGAAGACACCTTGTAGTGAGTTTCCAATGGAGGCCTTCGATATGGAGTCAGAACCAAAGAAAACGTAAGAAATCTAGAGAATAAAGAATAGAGGAGGTTCAGGTGAGAACAAGGGTGATAGAGGAGGAGGAAGAGATGCTTTGAGTAGTGTAAGCGACATTGTCTGGTGGAAGACGACTGTTACGAGCGATATGATATTTCTGTCGCTTGCCGAGAAGAAAAAAAAGGAAAGAATAGGTTGACGCCGTTCAAAACACAGCTGCGCAGACACGCCCCATCATCCGCAGCGAGCCAGACTATAAGTTTTACTGCTTGATCATCCGTGGACTTACGAGCTATCGTCGTCTCCGACGACGATCCCTTCCCTTGTCGTCTCACTGTCTGAAACGATCTCTAATTAACCATGTACCCTACCTGATAAGGGCATAAAGATGATTCTCGCCAGGTAAGGGTCCTCAATTCTACCATCGACTATACTGGAGTCAACACTTACATAACTAAGTTGAGAACTTGTAAAGATAACTAGTTTGTTATCTTTATAAGTTCTCGACTTTTTATTAAAATGAAATGTTAGTGAAAAACCCCACATGCGA